CCCACGCCAATTTCGGCGCACTCCTAACATGTTTCGTGACCGCACAGGGAGCTCCACCGAAGGCTCTTGTGGCAGGGTTCGGATGCGTTCATTTAGGCGCAGCCCTCAAAGGCTTCGCGGCCGCGTAAGGAATTCCACCAAAGTCTTGTGTGGCGGTGATCGTATGCGTTCATGTCTGCGCACCCCTCCCACGTTTTGTGGGCCCACAGAGAGCTCTCCCGAAGGCTCTTCTGGCAGGGTTTGCATGCGCCCCCCCCCTATGTCGGCGCACCCCTCGAGCGTTTCATGACCACACAGGGAACACCCCCTTCCCTCGTCCCATTTGCCCTGCGATGTTCGCACCTGCATACTGTTAGGTCCTTCGCCATAGCAATTTCACAATCCGTTCGTGTTCGGTCCTTCACACCGGTGCTGCCGCTGCAGCGTTGGCATCGTTTTAGGATCGGATCGGCGCCTTGCCCCCGTCGCTCAGAATAGCACTCTCGTCCTATCGCGGTCCACTTTTCTAGATCCTAGTCCTTCCTCATCGTTGTCGCCTCCCTCCTTTCCCCTCATCCGTTTCCCCTGGTCCTTGTGTTCCTTCCGCTCTTTCCGCTCCAGCTCCTGCTGCTGCTGTTCGTCTTCGTCCTTCATCTTCCTCCTCCTCCTCTTCTTCGTTTTCTTTGTCCACCTGCTGTGTACGCATTTTATTTTGTCTGACCGCGCAATCGAATACGAGGCGGTCCTTTTTGGAATCCCATGTCTGGCGCACGCGTCGGTTGGCAGAGAGCACATAAGCGCAGTGGGAGCGGATGTGTGGGAGGGGTAGGATGTCAGACATGGCGCGAGCGCACTTAGCTTGCCCCTCCCCCTCACCCTTCCTCTCTTGCGCTGGCGCTTCTTGTAGTGAGAAGGGGATCCTGTCGGGACTTTGAGGGGGGAGCCTGGGACTGGAGGGTATCTTGCAGCATCGCTGATGCATCTTGGGTTTTCTTCGGTCCTCATCTCCCTCATCCACCTCCCCCTCTCCCTGGGTCGCCCCGCCGCGAAATCTATGGAACCAGGGCGCGAGATCCTGAAGGGAATGTCCCCGAAGCATCCCAGGCTCACGGCGGAGAGCGATTCTTGCCTCGGGGGGACGACGAGCTGCAGGTTCCTTGGGGGGAGGCGGTGCGTGTTCCAACAAATACCCCCCTCCCCCTGCCCCCCCCCTTTCCATTCTCCCCCGCCGCCCTCCCGTACATGGACATTCTATTCGAACCCTGTGTCCCAAGATGCCCCCCAGACCCCCCGAAATTACGATTGATGGCGTGACGACGGGGGAGGGCGTGAGTGGACAGACGTATTCGAACCCCAAAGCACCGCTTTTATTGAGATCGACATGGATGTCGGGGGCCTGGGGGCGATTTAGAGTCCCCCTCGAATGTGCAAGGGGTAGAATAAATTGTCCATCTACTGTCCTCCGTCGCCGCAGTGACGGGCAAGAGCACAGCGCCCACACGCCCGAGGCCACGGCCTCCACGCCATGCCCGCCTAGGTACGGGCGGGCTCCTCTCCCCTGCGGAGCGCGCGCGCGGCTCTGCCACAGGCCCCCTATACACGGCTCCCTGGATCGGCGGAGGCGGGGGCCGGACGGGGCGAGGAGGAGGAGGAGGAGGAGGAGGAGGAGGAGGAGGAGGAGGAGGAGGAGGAGGAGGAGGAGGACGAGGAGGAGGAGGAGGAGGAGGAGGAGGAAGGAGGAGGAAGGAGGACGGAGGAGGAGGGAGGAGGAGGAGGAGGAGGAGGTGTTCCGCACCGCTCTGAGGAGGCCGCGGCGCCCGAGGCATCCTCCAGAGCCGCTGGATCTCAGAGATTCTCGATTGCCAAGGCCTTGCGGCCGGTGCCGCCGACCCTGGAGGCCTCGGCCCTCGCCGAAAATGGGAGGGAGAGGGCGGGCAATGGGCCCCGGGAGGGTGGCATTCTGACCCGGGACCACCCCCCGGGACCACCCCCGCCGCCAGATCTCAGAGACTCTCGACGTATCCCCACGCGACTCTATATATATATATATATATATATGTATATGTATATATATATATATATATATATATATATCCTCGCCCTGGCGTCGTCTCAGCGGGCGGGGGCACGGGGCGCGCGCTGGCCGAGAGGCCCTGCTGTCCAAGCTGGGCCAGAGCGTCGCCATCCTCCTCTTCGCGAGCCTCACGAACTTCGGCAAGGACGTGCCACCGCCGCCTCGCGCCCTCCTGGCCTCTTGGCCTCCGGTGGCCCCCCCGCGCCACCGCGGCTGGGCGCGGCACGCAGGCGGGGGCCGTCGCTGACCTCGGCGTGGTCACCGAGCGCGTTCCACTGCTCGCAAGAGTGCCTCTTCGCAAACGTCTGGAAAGCGCATGCTCGCCCCAGTGTGACGGATCCAGGCCATCTGCGAGTCGTCTGCGAGTACGGTGGGTGCGTCAAGGAGTGTGCTCAGGAGGCTCCAGACCCTGGAGGATTCCTTGCCCGGTCAGGGCGGCGGTGATTCCCATGGTCGAGCCCCAACTGGTGTTCCACCAGCTTCCAGGCCCTGGCTTCTTGATCTAAGGGTTCCTCATAGTTGCTCTGCGAGCGGCGGAGCGCGCCTGTCCGGGATGGGCACCCCAGGGCCGCTCCAGAGCGGATCTTCTTCGGGGGCTGGGCGCCCCCCCTTCCCTCGCCCGAGCTCTTGCCTGGTCCATCTTGAGCTGGGACCAGGGGAGGACAAAACCACACCGACCCCGGCAATTGTAGGGGGCCACATGCGAACCCTACCCCTACCCCCCACGATTTCGGAGGGGGAGGGTGGGGTTCACTTCGTTCGGGAGCTCCCGAGCGAAGTGAACCCCACCCTCCCCCTCCGAAATCGTGGGGGGTAGGGGTAGGGTTCGCATGTGGCCCCCTAAATTGTCGTTTACTAGACGGCCACTGGCGTCCGCCAAACAGCCCTGCCCTGCTCGATTCCTCCCTGGGGGCGCGTTCACCGAACGCCTTCGCTCGCCGGGGTGCTTATTATGGGAGTGGCATTTCTGCCCTCTATGGGAGGACGTGGGCGACGACCTGGGGATCCGCCTCACTGGGCTCGTGGGCATGGCGTTCGCCATCGCGTCGCTCGTCATCTTCACCAGGTACCAGGAGCACAGCGTGGTGACTGGAGCCGGCGACCCCTCGTCGCCCGGCGCGTCGCTGCATTGGGTCGCCGCCCCCGCCGCCGCACAGGAGTTGGCCGCGGACCCCCCGGCCCGGAGAGGAGAGTCGCAGCCAACAGCGAAGGTCGTGGATGTTGTGGCCACGAATGCCGAAGCGCTGCCGTCTGGACGGTCGCACGGCTGCTGGCCGCCTGAAAGTCCGATGGGGGGGTTGGCCCAAGGGAGGACTGATGAAGGGAGCAGCGCGGAGGGAGGAGGACAGGGCGGGACAGGACAAGGAGGGGGTCCGAGTCCAGAGTCCAGAATCCAGAGTTAGAAGCTGATTCGCGTGACCTCGGTGGATGATTCAAAGGCTGCCGCCTCTGCCGCCGTCCCCAGCAGACTCGCTATGAAATTGTTCAGCGGGTCTGCGGGGGCGCGGTGGCGCCTGGGGCCCTCGCGTGCCGTTGCGGGGCTAGCTTGGGGTGCGTCGGGCCGTCTTGAATTTACGTGGGCGAGAATAGATGGGCATGCGAACGTGTGTGGAACTCGTCAGGCAGGTCAGTGGGTTTGGGTCTTCGTGGGCTCCGCGGGGAGGCTCTGTTGGAGCCTTCTGAGGCCAGGCTGGCGTCCACTTGACGCATCGTGGGAGCCACGGGCAGCTTGGCTGCGAGCGGTGTGGCGCAGCTTCGGCTGCCGTGGTGGGATGCCCTGGCCCTCCTCGAACGTGGCGGTTGTGCCCATTATTGGAAGGCTTGGGCAGCGCCCGCGACGTGCACAGGCGCCCGGAGAGCTTCGGGTGTGGGGCGATGCATGCGGCCTCATGCCGTGTTGGGGGTGTGGGGAGAGTGGCCGCTGGAAAAACAACAATACTCTCGCTGGACAGCACGTTGCGTGGAGGCATGGCCCACGTTCCAGGGGGAGGAAAAGGGGAAGTGGGGACCAGGAGGATGGCAAGGAGGAGGCGCAGGCGGAGGAGGCGTAGGAGGAGAAGGAGGTGGAGGAGTGTGAGGAGGAGGAGGAGGAGGAGGACGAGGAGGAGGAGGAGGAGGAGGAGGAGGAGGAGGAGGAGGAGGAGGAGGAGGAGGAGGAGGACGAGGAGGAGGAGGAGGAGGAGGAGGAGGAGGGAGGAGGAGGAGGAGGAGGAGGAGGAGGTGGGAGGAGGAGGAGGGTGCGAGGGGGAGGGTGGCGATCCGGATTGGGTACGATTTCACTGTTGGTGTGTGTTCATGCATTTCCGTGTTTGTGTGTGTGCGTGTGTATTGTGTATGTGTCGGTGTCGTTGTGTATATATATATATACGTGTATATATATATATATGTGTGTGTGTCGGTGTGTGTGTGTGTGTGTGCGTGTGTGTGTGTGCGTATGTGTGTGCGCGTGTGTGCTTTAGTGGTTGTGTATGTGTGAGTATTGTAGATGTGCGCCTTATATGTTTGCGTAATGTAAGCAGGTATGTGGTATGCGCGTGTATCTATGTATATGCGCGTGTAAGCGTGGGGTGCCCGCACAACGTTTTCGTCCAATCTCCCTTCCTTCGTGCTCCTCTATCCTCCCCTCCCCCCCCAGAGAGGTTCCGTGACAATGTCGTGCCCTTTGAGCCGGGCTCGGCGCGTTCTCTCCTCCATCCAGGAGCGCCTCCTCGCGCTCCACCAGAGACTCCTGCCGCTGCTCTGGAAGCCTGCGGACTTCACGGTCGCCTGGACCGTGAGCCACACGGTGGACGCCTGCTGCGAGCAGCGCAGGCGGTTGTGCGACGAGAACCATGCGTGCGCACTGGCCCTGGCCTGGCCCGCCCTGAGGAAGATCCGCGCGCGCGTTACCCTGGCCGAGCCTGGGGGCGCGCGCGCCGGCCCTGGGCCTCGGGGCGGGCTGGGCCGAGGTCGCCGCGGGCGCATAGTAATCGCCCACCCCCCAAGGTGGGAGACGCGCAAGGAGGGCAAGCGCAAGCGCGACAAGGGCGTCCAGCGCGCCCACGTCGCGCAGCAGAGGCGGAAGGCTTTCCCGCGGGAGGGGACTGCGAGGACGGCCACGCCGCGGGTCGCCTCGCCTTCCCGCAGGGGAAGCAGGGGGGGCCCCCGAGTCCGCCCCGTCGAAGGGGGGGGAAGAGGAGGAGGTGGAGGAGGAGGCGAAGGGGGAAGGGGAGGAAGGGAAAGGAGGAGGCGGGGGCGGAGGGCTGAGAGAAGGCGAGGCGGCTCGGCGGCGGGGGCAAGTCGCTCGTAGTCCTCCCGCCGCCACGGCGCGCCTGAGCCGGGTCTGGCAGGGGGTCGCCAAACGGCGCCCGAAGGCGCCCGAGGTTTTCAGCAACCTCGCGGTTGCGCGGGCGTGCAAGCTTCGCCCCTAGGGGGACAGGGCGAGCGGAGCTGCACGGGGGGCGGGGGAAAAATCGCGAGAGCACGCGCCGCGGACAGGGATTCACATCTGCGGTACAGCGGAGTAGCGATGGGCGTATCCAATTTTTCCCCTAACAAAAAACGCACTTTGTAGTTGTTCAAAATGCAGTGTTTTCCCCGTGCGAACTCGCTCGAATGTAGAAAAACATATGGTTTTTTGTTCATTTACTTGCTTCGATCGTCATATCGTGCGAGCGTTTGTCGTTCGAGGGCATCCCTTAGGTGATAAACTTATAGTTTTCCTATTGTGTTTTCAATGATTCGCCGCGTTCGCTCGGGGAAACCCTAGGCAATTTGATTTTATGTCTATTTATACTTATGTTTTTGCAGTCTTTTTACAAAATAAGTCTTTTTATTTTTTGAAGTTTTACTAGGGGCGGAGTTTGGATGTGTGTGCTTGCCGTGCGTTGTGGTTTGTTGGTTGATTATGTTGGGGGGGTGTTAGGTTGGTCTTTGTGGGCGGGTAGTCTTGCTGGTGGGGGTTGTGTGGGGGTGGTTTGGGTGGTTGGGTGCTGGGTGGCTGTGGGCTTTTTGTGTGCTTGTTTTCGATTCGCTCTCTGTTGGTGAGTCTGTGTTTGTGCAGCCTTTCGGGGTTTTGTGGATGGAGGTGGTTTTTGTGCGCTCGCTCCGTGCTTTTCGTTGGCGTTTTGCTCTCGTTGCGGCCTCTCTGCGACGGGGGCCGAGAAGACTTCGGCGCGTTTTTTGCGGGGCGCCCCGCGGGGCAACGAAAAGCGCAAGGGGGGGTCCTTGCCTCCGCTTTCTCGGGGCCTTGCCGCTTTCCCTTTTCTGGATTATGTCCGGCAGTTTGCGCCGGGGGGGGGGGGTCGCGTCGACCTTGGAACAGGGGCGCCGCCTCTTGAGGTTGGGCGCATTAGGGCATTCCCCGAGCGCCCGAGGCAAAGGGCCCGAGACGCACCGCCCCTGCCTCTGCCTCTGCGCGGCGCCCCCCCCCGCCCCGCGCCGACTCGCGGCGATGTCCGCTGACCTGCAACTGCTGTACCGCCTCTCGGCGAGTACGTGGAAGGTGGCCGCGGGCTGCATTTGCAACGCCCCCGCCCCCGCCCTCGCGGTAGATTGCCATCTGTAGCAATGCGTGAGTTTGCTGGTGTTCCCCAGGGCGAGTTGGTCGATGTGAAGACCGCCCACTGGCCCAACTTCGTGGTGAAGGGCAACCCCGGCGCGGACGATGGGGCATGTTTGCGCGCGCCGCTGTCGCGCACGTGGCGAAGCTCACCCCGGTCGGGTACGACCGGGTGTGCAGCTTCAGCTGGTCGCCCGCGCTGGCCTGCGGGCGCTTGGTCGACCTGGCAGCGACCGGGGGGATATCGCGCGCCCCCGTCTCCTGCCCCATCGGCAATAGATATGACCCCCGCCTCTGTCATCGACGCGGGCCGGCATTGTGGCCAATCGGCGCCGGGGGGGGGGGGGCCTGCGGGGGTAGCGAGCGCGATATCGACGCCAGGCACACGACGCCGGCGTTGACTTGAGCCACGACATGATGATGCACGTGGCCGTCAAGGACGGCGTTGCGCAAATTAGCATTTAACTGTCTAGTTAAACACGATTAGTACGCACTCGACACTCCTCACTTTTTCCTCCGAGCGGTCGCCAGTGATGTCTGTCGCCTCCTCCTCATCCTCCTCGCCCCTTTGCCAGGAGGGCGACGGCTTCCTGGACCTGTCCACCATGGGCTGCCTCGTCCGCGCCTGCCAGGGCTGGGAGGCGGGCGATTGGACTTGGAAGGGCATGGACATGTGGCGTGTCCAAGACTTCGCCGTCAAGAAGTTGTCAGAGGTCTGACTGTTCCAATCGATCCTGGGGGGGGGGGGGGGGGGGGGGGGGGCCAATCTTTGTCTGTAGATGAGATAACCGAATGCGGGGGTCGAGTCGACCGGGGCGATCGACGCCGATCCGAAAGCCCTTTCCCCGTCGATTGTCGAATTGTTCCTGCGATGAAAGCGATGGCGAACCTATCCGCAGCGAGTGTCCGTTGACCCGGCCGCCCGGCCACTGCCGCGCCGCCGCCCCCCCTTCCCCCCTCTCTGCGCAGGTGGCCGGCGACCGCGCCAAGCTCCCGGAGAAGCGCTTCGCGACGCTGCGCCCGGCGCTGGACTTGCCGCGCGAGCTCGTGCTTCTCTGCGGCCGCACGCAGTGGCACAAGCTCGACGCCGCTGGCCAGCAGCGCCTCGACGCGGACCTCAGGAAGCACATCCTGGCGCTTGTCGAGGATTGCGAGGGGGGGCAGGCAACGACGCAATCCCCTTGCGGTTGATCAGACGGCATCGCCGCGAGCAGGGCGGGCTTTTCTCCTCTGCGTCGGCCGGGGAGTGGCGCCTCCGAGAACCATTTGGTCCGCTGAATGTTTCTCGCGGCGCCCCTCCTGGTGTGCGGTGAGGTCGCCCCAGTTAACGCGGGGGGATCGCGCGTTGACCCCCCCCCCCCGCAGGACCAGCTCGCGCAGCCGCGCTGAGGTGGGGCCGGCCGAGCCGACCGTCGCGGCGAATCGCCGCGCTGGCGGCGCTGCGTGGGCAGCGCCACTTGTATATGTATACATTGCACCGCTGCGTTCCTGTCGAACGCCCGTTCCCTATCCACGGTCTGCCTCCTCCTTCCTCATTCAGGCTTCCTTTCGTCCTTCCCCACGCCCGCCATCGCCGCCCCTCGCCCTTTTCGCCTTGCTCGGGCCTCCTCGAGTGACGTTGCTGCGCCCCCCCCCCGGCCCATAGCGCCTGCCCCGACCACCTTTGCCTGGCCTGATCACCCTTGCGCCCCGCGCGTCGGTCGACGCATCGAGGGGGAGCGATTGCGCCACTTTCTGTGTTGCGAACGCCTGCTCCTTCCCCTCGCCTGCCTCCTCCCTCATCCAGGCATCGCTGCGTTCTTCCCCTCTCATGCCAGATTCCCCATCGCCGTCCCCCGCCCTCTTCGCCTTGCTCGGGCCCCTTCGAGCGACGCCGCTGTCTCCCCCTCCGGCCCATAGCGCCTGCTTCGATAACCCTTGCCTGGCCTGATCACCCTTGCGCCCAGCGCGTCGGTCGACGCATCGAGGGGGAGCGACTGCGCCACTTTCTGTGTTGCGAACGCCTGCTCCTTCCCCTCGCCTGCCTCCTCCCTCATCCAGGCATCGTTGCGTTCTTCCCCTCTCATGCCAGATTCCCCATCGCCGCCCCCCGCCCCCTTCGCCTTGCTCGACCCCCCTCGAGCGACGCCGCTGCCTTCCCCTCTGGCCCATAGCGCCTGCTTCGATAACCCTTGCCTGACCTGAGCGCCTGCCGAGCCGCCCTCGCGCGCAGGGCCGGCGGCGGCGGCGATCTTCATCGCGACGACGATGCTCGGCGGCGACGTCGGGGCCGCAGGCGCGCCCGCCGCGCCCGCATGGCCGACCGCCGCTGCATCGCCGTCGCCGCCCGACGTCGGACATCTCGCCCCGCCCGCAGTTTTGCGCGCGCGACTGTTGAAAACGCGTGCGCTTTCCCCGTGCGAACTCGCTTGGAAGTCAAAAAACCTTAGTGATTTGGACCGTTTATCTGTTCAGTGGCTGCACTCGGTGTGGTTTTCGTTTGACGTGGGTCGCCGCGTTCACTGTGAATGTACGTTTTCCTATTGGTTTTTGATGAATCCAGCGAGTTCGCACGGGGAAATGCATGTGTTTTTTGTGTGTTGATCCTTCGTCGTGGCGCCTCGTCCCCTGGGTCCCTCCAGAGAGCTCGCATTGCTGCGCGACCGACGCGATGTCTTGGACTTTGGGTTCGCGGTCGGCCGCTGGATGCCGCTGCGAGCCACCCCGGATCACTGGAGAGCACGATGGAGGCTTCTGGGGGTTCGCCAGGAGCTGCCAGAGACCGCGGGGGGACACTGGGAGCGTTGAGGCGCCGTCCGGTAGCTGCTCGGGCTCAATTGTGCGCCCCGGCAATTCGGACCGTCGAGCTCCCTCCCCTCGCCCGCAGCCCCTGGCCCGCGGCGCATGGCGGCGCTGAACGACGACCTCTTCGAGTACGCCGAGTTCCAGGTGGACGAGCAGGACCCGAACCAGCACGTGGACTGGAAGCTGCTGCCGATGCGGCAGGCTTACCGCGTCTGGGCCGGCGAGGGCACGATGTACCTGGGCAGCATGCACGACGGCCTCTACAAGTACCACCTGACGCCGTGCGTGGCGCCCTTCATCGCGGACCACGGCCTCGTGTGGAAGCCGACGAATGGATCCCGGCCGTGGGCGCCGCGCTGCGCGCGGACCCGATCGATCGCGATGTCTGGGCGATCTGTCGATCGGTCCCAGATGGTCTGTTCGCTCGGTCAGTCGAGCGCTGGCGCGGGCTGCCTGCCGTGGCCTCACAGCGATCGAGCGTGGCCGTGAGGCGATCGGACGGCTCGTCGCGATGGGGTCTTGCTCGACCCGAAGATCATCGATGGCTGCCGCCTGCTGTCCGTCTCCCCGCATCTGCCGCGTGGAGGGGGGTGGAGGGGATGTGGGGGTGGAAGGCGAGCGGGTCGGCCCGCCGCAACGCTGCGAGCTCACTGACAGCGGATGCCGAGGTTTTCACGCGCCGTGTCGCGCCTGCCACGATCGAGATCGATGCCGCGGGCTTCGAGCGCGACGCGGGCGCGATTCACCTCCACGTCACCTGCGATCGCGACGGCGATGTTCGCAATCACGTGCTCCGCACCTCGGAGTCGTCGACTGTGCAGATGGCGATCGGGGATCTGTCGTTGGCCGTAGGCGTAGGCATGTTCCCCCTCCCGCTCCTCTGGGCACGTTGCGAGTGATAGCCTCTGTGCCTCGGAACAGGGTCCCGGGCCCGTCACGTGCCCCTTGCCCCGTGGGTGGGGTGGAGGTGCGGGCACTCGCGTCGGGGCGGCGCCCCCCCCAGGTGAAGAGCGAGCTCCGCGTCGCGATGGGCTGGCCGCCGTACACGCCCGTGGCCTGGGCTGGCATCGACGATGCGGCGAAGCGCCAGAACGTCAGGTTCGCGCCGGCGTGCGAACCCTGCCCCTGCAGGTTGAACCGACGCCGGGGGGGGGGCGGCGCCGGACACTCTCGCCAGGGGTGGGGGGCGGGGGGTTGTCCTCCGGACTACATGCGCCCCCCCCCCCCAGAGTCTGAACCCCAGCCTGCGTCTTGGATACCGCTGACCTGCAGGGTTAGAATGGGGATCGCGCGTGGTCGCCCGCCAGGGTGAGCACCATCTTTGGATTCAAGCGCCCCCGCCTGGACCAGTGAGGGCGGGCCTCGCGCGCGTGCAGGCGCCCGCCTGCATGGCCCGTTGTGGCGGGCAGGCGAGTTCGCGCCGTCGCGGGCTGCCCTGCCCGCGCGTCTCCCTGCGCAGTGGACGCGCCCCGCGCGTCGGTCGACGCATCGAGGGGGAGCGACTGCGCCGCTTCCCTTGTTGCGAACGCCCTGGCTGCCTGCCCCCCCGCTCCTGCCCCTGACCGTGAAAGGCATGTGTTTTTGCGCTTTGATCTTTAGTTGTCACGCCGGTTCCCCTGGTGTCCTGATCAGAACTCGCGTTGCTGCGTAGTTGACGCGGTGCCCCTTTGGGAGTAGTTGACAATGTCTTCAGCTGGGGGCAGTTGACCTTGTCTTCTTTTGGGAGTAGTTGACACCGCGTTCGTTTGGGACTGGTTGACACTGTCCTCGATTGGGAGTAGTTAGACTGTCTTCTTTTGGGAGTAGTTGACATTGACTTCTTTTGGGAGTAGTTCCGGCTCGGGTCTGAAAAATCCCTTGACTTCCCGGGAATTCGCCCGAATTCCCGAATTCCTGGGAATTCGGCAAGTTGAGCTTCAGGATTTTTTGAGTTCCCAGGAATTCGGGAATTTGGGAATTCGGGAATTCGCCCGAATTCCCGAATTCCCGAATTCCCAGGAATTCGGCAAGTTGAGCCTCAGGATTTTTGAATTCCCAGGAATTCGGGAATTCGGGGGGAATTCGGGAATTCGCCCGAATTCCCGAATTCCCGAATTCCTGGGAATTCAAAAATCCTGATGCTCAACTTGCCGAATTCCTGGGAATTCGGGAATTCGGGCGAATTCCCGAATTCCCGAATTCCCGAATTCCTGGGAACTCAAAAAATCTTGAGGTTCAACTTCCCGAATTCCAAGGAATTCGGGAATTCTGGAATTGGGGCGAATTCCCGAATTCCCGAATTCCCGAATTCCTGGGAACTCAAAAAATCCTGAGGCTCAACTTGCCGAATTCCTGGGAATTCGGGAATTCGCCTCACTGTTTTCTTTTGGGAGTAGTTGACATTGTTTTCTTTGGGGGGAATATTTGACAGCGTTTTCCATCGGGGCCAGTTGATACGTTCTCCTTTCGGGTGGGTGAGTTCCACGCCGCGCGGGCTGGACGTGCCGCGGCTAGCATGCGTCGCTCGCCTGCGTCCGCCACCGCCCACCCCGTTGTTCCGCTCCATGCAGAGATGCGCGAGCACAACTTGTGGAAACCCAAATGATTTCCCGTGCGAACTCGCTTGGATGTCGAAAAACCCATGTGATTTAATGAATTCACGATTTCCAAGACTTCTCTTGGGTGCGTTTCGTTCCGCGCTTGGCGCCGCGATACAACAAGAATATGGTTTTCTTATGGTTTTTTGATGATTTGGGCGAGTTCGCACGGGGGAAAGCACGTGTTTCCTGTGGGCGTCACTCGTCGTGGTCGCACCTGTTCCTCTGGAGTCCAGGAGACAGCTCGCCCTGCTGCGCGGCCCAGTTGGAATGGCATGTTCGCTTTGGTGTCTGAGGGTTCCTCCGCTCATTTAGGTTCGAGATTCTGAAGGCGACGTTCGGCGGCTGGATTTCCGCCGTCCCGCCTCGCTCACTCGGCATCGCTGGCGCCATGGAGGCAGACCGCGCCGCGGGCGCGCAGATGCAGTTGCCCATGTCCCCGCGCGCGTACAACCGCCTCGTGCGCGAGCTCAAGTACGTCAACGCGAACATCCTCGGCCGGCCGGCTCACGGCTACCAGGCGAACCCCGCTGGCACGAAGGTGAAGTTCGCGGGGGGCTTGCTGCCGGCGGCGCCTGCGTCGCTGAAGGCGTGGTGGCGCAAGTACTTCCAGGAGGGCGCCTCCCGCGCGGGCGCGGCGGGGCCGACGCCTGGCCCATCGAGGCCCAAGCCCGCGGCGCGGCTGGCGAAGAGTCGCCGACAGGTGTCGGCTGCTCGCGACCGCAGCGGGAGCGGCCTCGTTGACATCGAGGCTTTCGACGATGTCCTCGCGGAGTTCGCCGTTCCACGCACGACGTTGACCCCGGTCGCCCCAGCGACTCACCGTCGCCGCCATGCGCGCGCCCGCCCAGGCGGCGCGGGGGCGGGGCGGCGCGGCGCCGGCGTCGACGGCGTCGCGCCGAACGAGGGGATGACCGATTCGGCGCGCGGCGACGCGTCCTCCGGAGGCGCGGATGCGACGCTCGAGCAGGCCTCCCCTGTCCAGTCCGTCTTGGAGTCGAACGGGGAGGAGGTGGCCGCGTCGACATTCGGGGACGCGCCCATCGGAGGCAGGGGCGCGGCGCCCGACCAGGACTTGGCGGAGTTCGCTGAGGGGCTGAACCATGACTTGTCGGCGGAGTCGGCGCCCGGGGGCGCGCCCCCCGGCTGCGCGGGCGCGACGCCCAAGCAGGAGGTGGGGGAGTTCGTCGAGGAGCCGAGAGAGGACTCGGCGGAATCTGCCGAGGAGCCGGACCAGGGCTCGGCGGCGTTGGCGCCCTGTGGCGCGCCCGCGGGAGGCAAGGGGGCGTCGCCCGAGCACGCCGCGGCAGAGATCATCGACGAGCTGAACAGGGGGATGACCGAGTTGGCTCTCGAGGGCTTGTCCGCGGGGGGGTGCGAGGACGGAGAGCCCGAGCGATTCCATGCGAAGTTCGTCGAGGACCGCCCCAGAGCACTGGAAATGACTTGACTCCCGCCCCTCTTCCTCCACCCCGCATCTCCCCTCTCCACAGGAACAGGACGACCTCTTCGTGCGCTGCCGGATGGGCATCTTCACCCTGGAGGAGATCGTCCAGCAGGCTGAGGCCCTGGAGAAGCGCTACGGGGCAATTGCGTGGCGCCTGATCTACCTGCTCAGGACTATGCCAGACATCCTCTGCGAGAGCGTCCCTGTCGAGTGGAGCGGCGCCCCCTGGCAGTCAGTCGGAGGCAGCGGCACGCCGCTCGGCGAGATGGATCACGCCTCGACGCTCGAGTACCAGCGCGTCTTGCAGGAGCGGCTCGAGCGCAACGGGGGCCGCGATCTCGTCATGGACGCAGAAGCCCGGAGGAGGAGGGATTTCCCCGAGGAGTTCCCCGCCAGCGGGAGGACTACCGCGCCGAGCTTCGAAACGCCGCCGCCGAAGGAGAGGTTCGAGGCAGAGGCCGCGGTGGCGCAGGTGCACGCGGAGGACGGCTGCGATCGCCATCGTGGTCGACGGGGTCAGGGCGGTTCAGACAAGCTGCTGCCCTCCTTCCACCTCAGGGCGAGCTTCGACCACCTCGAACTCCCGCACGCTCAGTGCGCGTTCACCGCGGCGCAGGTGGAACTGTATCATCTGTCCAGACGCATGACTCACGACCAGTTCCTGCGGGAGAAGGGCATCCTGGAGCAGGTGGCCAGCAGGAGGGCAGTGTTGCTGGCGTGGCTGCTCTGGGAGGAAGGCTGTTGGAAGCCCGACTTTGATGCCCGAGCGAAGCGTTTCCTGGCGGCGGTGGGTCGCCCTCTCGCGGCAGGCGGCTCGCGGGGGCCCGCGGGCGGCGCGCCGCGGCTCGTGGATGACGAGCTCTCGCAGGAAGAGAAGAGGATGAGGACGGTGTCCGCGGTCAAGCAGTCGTTGGAGTACGTGGAAATGCAACTGAGGTGCAGCACCGGGGAGCTGGGCGAGGAGGACAGGCCCGCGACCCCGGACCCCGCCCTGCCGCACGTCAGCAAGCGGGATTGGGAGAAGAGTGTGCAGCAGTGGCGCCATGCCACATCGCGAGCACTGGCCGCAACCCCGGTGGACGCTGCGGCGCTTGCGGCGGTGGGCCGACTTGGCGCTTGGACGACGGAATCGCCTCCAATTTTGCGCGGCGTCGATGTGCTTACCCAGAGCGGCAACTGCATTGTGCAATCGTACGCCGTTGTGACGGGCGATTTCCGCGGCGCCATCGAGTACTGCCAGCAGCGTCCCGTGCGCCGCGGCGCGACGCGTCTGTACGCCGACGTCGCCGCCCATTTCAACTTTTCCTTGGGATTCGCGGGCTTGGAGGTCGCGCAAGACGGGCGACATGCGCTCCGCCCTGGGCTGTACTTCTTCCACATCCGTCTTCATTGCCGCCCCGTGGTTGTCCCGCCCGAGAGCGAGCTGGCCTGCGTGTGGAGAGGCTACGAGCGGATCTTCATAAGGATAGCAACCCTGGCGCGCAAGGTGGACGAGATCGGCGGGCAGCTCCTGTTCATCGATGGTGGCTGGCGTTTTCCCGTGTGCGCAGGTCTGCGCGCTGGCGGCGGGCCCGGCGCCGAGGACGAGCTTGCCCCGGTGGGCAACGAGGCGGGGGGGGCGGGAAGCGCCCCCCCCCTGCAGCTGACGCAGGAGCTGAGCAGGATTCTCCCGCCAGGGGTGGGGGAAGATCGCCCCCGCCAGGCCGGCGACGGCGCGGCGGCCGCGGAGGAGGAGTGCAAGGCGTCCGCCGCCGGCACCCGGCCCGGCGACGGCGCGGCCGCCGCGGAGGGGGAGGAGGAGCGCGAGGCGTTTGCCGCCGGCAGCCAGGCTGGCGAGGGCGAGGCGTCTGCCGCCGGCCCGAGCGCGTCGCCCCCTCTCCCCGACGACGACATGGCAGGCGCGTTCGAGAAGCCAAAGGAAAAGCCGCCCGCGCATAGCCTGACGGAGCACCTCGACAAGCACCTCGGGAAGCACGTCGGCATGGCCAACAAGAACGAGGTCATTCTCAAATATCTGGTGGACCTTGATTTGAGCGTGGACAACAGCATGCTTCTCCAGGCGGAATGCGTGTACCTCTTTTTCCAGTCTGAGGAGCGCAGCCTCCTGTACCACATCAGCCACGGCGCATGGTACACGTGGGGCGAGCAGGGCTGGACGCAGAAAGACGGCTCGAACCGCGTCATGGAGTTCATGCAGACGGGGTTCTTGAAGGCCGCGAGGGATGTTCGGAAGCTCGCGAGGCAGCGGCAATGCTTCCCGCCGACCGCCGACGGTGAGGAGCACATCCGCACGGCGTTCCTGGACAAGCTCGTCGCGGCGGTGGAGGGCAAGGGCACCGTGAAGGCGTTGATGGACCAGTGCGCCATATTCTTCAAGCTGGATCCCGTGTTCGACGCGAACCCAGATATTCTGCAGTGCCGCAACTGCGTGCTCGATCTGGCGAAGAATTGTTTCAGGGAGTCCCGTCCGTCGGACATGACGAACAGAAGCTCCTCCGTGGCGATCCCGAAGGAGTGGTTGGAGGACCCGTCCCTGGTCATGCCGCAGTCGCTCGGGCAGAGGACCATGGTCTGGAATTCGCTCTGGAGCATCTGGAAGAGAGGCGAGGGCGGCTTCCACCCGGGCGACCACTTCGACGAGTTGGGGGATTGCGACAGAGAGAATTTCGAGTTCTTCATTTCTCTCGTGGCGCGCCTCCTGGAAGGCCGCCCGCTCCAGAAGGTGGTCATGCCGTTCTCCGAGCGCGGGCGGAACAGCAAGGGGTTGTTGGAGAAGATGCTGGAGAGCGTGTTCGGGAGCTACTATGCCCCCGTCAAGAACACGATCTTCTTGGAGGAGCGGCGCACGGAGGACGAGCACAACGCGGGCGCGCTGGATCGCCAGGGGGCGCGCATAGCGGCCACGAACGAGCCGCCCGAGCAGCCGTGGAGCAATTCGACCTTCAAGAACAAGGTCTCCCGCGACAAGGTGCCGTGCCGCGGTTGCAACAGCAAGGTCGTGGAGAAGCATTCGCCCACGTACACGTTCCTGTTCTCGACGAACGGCCCGGTGCGCTTTGCCGTCCCCCCGAAGAACTCGGAGAAGGATCGGATCTTGGTGCTGAGAATGCCGAACAAGTTCGTGGACGACGGCGACAAGTTCACGTCGCCGAGACAGTTCCGCAAGGACCCCAAGATCGAGGACCGGGCCATGAGCGAGGACTTCGGGCTCGGGTTCCTGTTGATCCTCGTGCAGCGCAGGCAGAAAGTGCAGGACCTCGACGAGCTGGTGGGTCGCGGCACGAAGACCAGTCGCTTCTGGGTGGAGAAGTGGTTCAGCGCCGAGCAGACGGGCGACGAGCCGGCGGCGGCGTCCGCGCCGCCATCCGCCGAGGTGACCGAGCAAGCAGTGCAGACGTGCAAGGAGGATCACGCGAGGTTGTCGGTAAAAGGCGCGGGCCGCGTTGTGCCCGAGTGGGAGATCGTAAAGGACGATCCAGTCAACAGGGGCAAAAGGAGCGAGCGTTTTTTGGAATTGCAGAAAGTCATGAGGAATGCCGGCAGAGTCGGGGCGACCCTGATGAGGGTGACGTCTTTCGTGTCCCGGAAGAAGCACTCCCAAAAGGCCATAGAGCTGCTGCCGCTGGACGTGGCATTGTACGACGCGATCTTCTCCGACGCGGACGTCTTCGGGTCGTTGAGCTCGTACGCGTATCCCCCCTTCCACGATTCCTTCGCACAGAAAGACGGGTGCCTGGCTTTCGCCGAAACGCCTGACTCGGCGCGCCCCCCGTCGCCTGCCCACGCCCTCGTGTACCGCGTGCCCTCTCTCGTCCACCTGGCGGGCCTGTCTGCCGAGGCCTCGAGAATGGCGGCCGACCCCAATGTCTCTCCAGAAGACCGCAACAGGTGCTCGTCGTGGTTGCAGCGCGCCAGGGAGGAGGGGCAGGAAACGCAGGTGGGCCCGTCGTGCTTCCAGTGGCTCGACGAGGAGTACAGCCAGCTCGACGGCGTCGGTAGGGCGTATGCCCCCGGACACAGTTGCCAAGCAGCTCGTCGCTCGGCGCGCGCATCCAGCTGGGGTGACTTGCCGGTCGTGGAATGGGACTTCCGCGTGGCTGCTTACTCGCGCCTGCTGTGGGAGCTGCGCCAGGTCGCTCCGCCGGAGGAGGGCGAGGGGGCGCGCTTCGACCAGATCGAGAGGTACGTCGCATCGCCGACTCCGTGGCGAGAAAAGATCGCCGAGTATTACGGCATCAGCGTGGGCGAGGCCAAGCAGCTGTTGAACCGCCTGGTGTATCCTCGAGGCAGGTGCCGGCCGAACGAGGAGTGGGAGCCTGGCGCCGGGGACAGGGGCTCTCATGTACTGCCGTGCGTGCTGGAGCTTCGGCATCAACTGGCTGGAGCAGTTACCGTGATCGCGGCGAAGTCCGCGCGGTTCCAGCACATCGCGAGCATGGAGAAGACGAAGAGCGCTGAGCACCCCGAGTCCACCGCCATCGCTCTGTTCCTGCAGGACTCCGAGAATGTGGCGCTGGGGCAACTGCTGGAATTCCAGAGCTACCACAACATCCAGCCCGTGTGCCTGTGCTTCGACGCCATCTACTTCGTCCCGCCGCCGTTCCTGCTGGCGGGCGACCGGCTGGAGCAGCTCACGCGGACGGCGTCGGACGCCATGTTCGCCGCCGCCGGCGTCCGCATCAAGCGCGCGCGCGCCTCCAGGGAGCTGTCCGACCAGGACGACGCGTCGGCGAGCCTGGCCTTCTACTTGAACTCGCTCGTGCGCCGACGACTGGCGGCGCCCCAGAGATCCACGTGCGTGGGCGTGCCCTCCGAGGAGCCGCCGGCGAAGCGGTCCAGGCTCACCGGCAAGCGGACTCCACAGGCCGCCGCCGCTGCTGCCAACGAGGCCGTCTACGCTCAGTGCATGGCAGCAGGGCACAATTGCGTTCCGTGGTCGTTCCTCGCGCTGTCCAAGAACCTCGTGCACTCCCAGAAGTTCCTCGAGTTTGCCTTCTCTCCTGGCCCCCACAACTACGCCGACGCGGTCGACGCGGCACAGGATTTCCATTCGTTGGACGTCGTGGACAACAACGACCTGCAGTCCCTCGAGCCGGGCGGATACATGTTGCACGCTCGCGGGGATCCTGGCCACGCCACCCCGCTGGTGATCGCCGCCAACGAGCAGCCCGTGATTCTACTGCCAGGCGCGGGAGGCGTTCCCGAGCCCTGCGTCGTGGACCTTGCCGCGCAGCGCTGCGACATCGCCTGGGCATTCCGCGGCCCCGCGACCGACGGGCGCGACGTGCGCTCGGGCGACGGCCTGCTCGAGATGGCCGGCGCCGACGACGAGGGCGAGGTCGCGCTCCCCGTCGTTGACGACGAGGGCGAGGACGGCCAGGGCGAGGAGGGCGACGACGAGATGAAGGAGGGTGATCGAGCGTTCTGGGAGTCGCTGAAGAGTGAGTGTCGGGAGTACCTGGACCTGCTGAAGGGCGACGGCGCGCTGGAGACCTGCGCGTGCAAGAAGTGCGCGTTCCGTGCGTTTACGGAGAGGAGGTACCTGCGACACCACGTGGAGACTTACCACACGGAGGAGCGAAGTTACACGGCGTGCAACACGGACGTGCAGCTGAAGATCGCCCGGGCAATCTTCAACCAGCGCAGGGTATGTTCGATCCTGCAACCGGAGGCATCGCCCCATGACTTGCTCTCCGCGTCGGCCGCGCTCATCCGCGACTGGGTCGCTCCATCCGAGGAAACGCTCGCAGTGCTGAAACGGTCCAACGAGCTTCCTCTGGTCACGGTGTGGACGGAAGACGGCGCCGTGATGAAGCTGAAGACCCAGACCGGGCCGACCAGGCGCTTGAGTTTCAAAGTGTATTACACGGCTGGCTTCCAGGACCTCCTCACGTCGATCGTGCTGCGTCGCAAATTCCACCTTGCTTCCGTCATGCAGGACCTCGCGGCGACCTGGGCAATGAACAATCAAGCGGTGCTGCTGTTCGGCAGGCAGGGGTACGAGTCGATCTGCGAGCTCGTGGAGAACATCTTCACCTCGCCCGAGAGCGCTGTCGTGGCAATGAGGAAAAAGGTCCTGGACGCGGCAGTGGCGAACGGCGAGTTCAAGTGCATCAGCCACGACGCCACGTTCAAGGCCGCGTTCGCGATCATCGGCCAGACCCCCATGTCGCAGAGGGCTGGAGAAGTGCACGCCCTGCACACATTCGTTGCGCAGTCTGGGTTGTGTCTGGGGTGGAGCGGACAGCGCACGGAGGGGGAGCATGACTTCGCGCAGGCTCTCGCCGAGCTCTTGCCAGAGGGTGCGATCCCGCAGGTGGAGTACATTCTGTCGGATTCCCCGAGCGAGTACTTCCTCAGCCACTTGCCGAACTGCCGCGGCGTGGCGGAGGACCCCGTGCATTTATCGATGAGGATCGACGGGTGCACCAACGAACGCAGGACAGCGCTATCTTGGCGAGTCTTGAAGCTGCACAAGAAATTCCAGCAGCCAGCGCCGCCGGATTGGGAGATCCACCACGGCGAGCCCATGCGCATCCCCGAGTGGGACAGCGTGCGGCTGGGCCGGGCATTCACCGATGCCCAGTGGGAGGCCTACCTCGAGAAGCCGTTTACCAGCGTGCGCGAGTACGTCGGGGCCCTCCGGCGCATCGCGCAGACGTACCCGCAGACGTTGACCCGCAAGGATCTGAAGGGGGTGACCGTGCTGCAGCACCTGCAGCGCGCGGGCTCGCACTTTTTCTACACGCAGAACGTGGCCGTTTTCAGGCGCCTGCACCCGGGCGCATTGATGAACACGATGCGGAACGAGGCCATCCATCGACAGGTCAAGGACTGGGGGCGCTGCGTGTACCAGTGCCATCGCGAGCGCGTCGTCCTCGCGGGCAAGATCTTCGGCGTCTACAAGGCGCTCGCGCACTCGTGCCAGCCATGCACCGTGTCTCTCCGCGAGGGGTGGAGGGTCGCGCTGATCGCGGGCGCGCTCTCGAAGGGCTTAACGCCGCAGTTCCAGAGTGGCGGCCCAGTCGCCATCCGGGACCGCGATCAGCTGCGCACGCCCGTGATAGCATTGTCCAGCGCGGACGCAGAGCGCCGCGCAGACCGCCGCGCATCCAAGAGGGAGCGCGCAGCGGACCAGCGCGCCATTCACGAGAGCCGCAAGGCCGCCAGGCGCACCAGGCTGGGTTGATAGATGCGCGCTCCTGCGAGTTGCCCCTGCCATAGTGCAGCAGTGCAGGACACCTGATGCGCGCACGCCCCGCGTCCATCCTCTCTGCGGAGGACGCAGCGCTGTTGCCGCCTGTTTCGCTTCCCTGCGCATACAACCGTCATCATCGCCATGTGCAAAGAGCGCTTCTCCTCCACCAAACTCACTATGATGGAAACCATTGATTTTCGAATGTTTTCCCGTGCGAACGCGGCATAATCATCAAAAACACATAGGAAATACACAAAAATCTTAACCATCAGCGACCAGCTCAGAGCGGAAGCCGGCGCGAAAGAAGTGTTTGATCACATAAACCATTAAAAACACATGGGTTTTTGCATATTCAGGCGAGTTCGCACGGGGAAAAATTGAATATTGTTGGTATATGCGCCTTCAATATATACGTTCCACAAGAAGAATCATCTAGACCGTTATATTCACAAATGATGTGAATCTCTGTCCGCGGCGCGGCGTGCTCTGAGAAGATCGCCTTGCCGGCGCGGCCGCCAATTCCCGGACTTCCGACGTTGCGACTTGTTCATGCCGCAGCGGTTACCCGCGGCTCTCGACCTCGCTTCCGGGGGAGATATTTTCGTCGCGGATCTTTGCAAAGTCGGATGTTTGGGATTTACGGAAGCACAAGCAGGGCGATCGCAATCCCCATCCTCCTCCTCGTCCTCTTCCTCGCGCTTCCGCCTCTCGCCCTCCCCCTCGCTCTTCTCCCTCCTTTGGACCCACCCTTAGATTTTAATTTCCGGAGGCCGCTTTTGGGCTCCAGGGCCGTCGAACAACAAATATCCGGAACGGGGGATTACCTCTGATGGACTCCAGAAAAGCCCCTGGCGCAGATTTTAAGGGGATGGCGGCCCAAAGAGGGAGTAAGAGGAATATGAGGAGGAGAAGGAGGCGGTGTACTGGGACGACGAGGAGGAGCAGGGCGAGGAGGACGAGGAGGACGAGGAGGAGAAGGAACAGGAGTAGGAGTAAGAGGAGAAGGAGGAGGGGGAGGAGGAGGAGGAGGGTATATATTGGAAGCAGGGCATTCACGCCATCGCGAAGCCAACCGGCCGCGCGGGCGACTCGTCCGTCGCCAGGGCGAGGAGGAGGATGGGGGCACACCAAAGTGGATAATTTTATGTACACGTATGTTTATTATATATGTATGTATATGTGCACTGCATGTGTACGCACACATATGCATATGTATACATGTATTGCATGTGTGATAGCCACGACAATACACATTGCCACGTACATTACATCATTATACTCATGTGTATACATACATGCATGCATTTGCTATTCAATTATATGAACAATATACCTTTTATACGTGTCAGTACACAAAGGTGCATGTTTATGTATATGTGTGTATATGTATATCAGTGTGTTTACTCGTGGACTTATATTATGTGTTTGTGCACGTACACATACTTATGTGAACACTTATATGTGAATTCACACATCCACGCATATGCACATACATCGGTCCTAAAAATACACATATATTATATACGCATATGTACACATGTTATACGTTTATGAGCACTGCGTGCATATCTTATTTTCGTTTACACACAAGCAATGGCACACATGCTCATATACATGTTCGTATATGTGTATAGTTACTAGTGCGTGTGTATATATATATTCAAATATGTTTAAAGTGTCTGTATGTGTTTTTTGCAAAGGATTCATTCATCTAGTTATACATACATGCATATGTATTAAGTATACACGCTACAACGCACGCGTACAAATACACATATCCGAATGTGCCAGCGCAATCATCCGCCTGTTTCTTTTTATCATGAACAAACGCACACACATATACATATATATAAATATATTCGTTTGTTTTTATATACAAACATGTGTTTGTATATTTTACACGCACACATATATTTAACTACACGCATGTTCACAAGTTCGTATGTATAGGTGTGTAGAAATGAGTACACACACATACACATACATATATATACAGGGTTCACACACATACATATATATGATATATATATATATGTATATGTAAATATAGGTAGTACGCACATATATATATATGTATATATATGAATATAATTATAATATATGTCATATGTATGTGTGTATGCTTAGAACATACACATACATATATATATATATATATACGCAAACATACATACATGCATGTATATGTTTAAAGTATACACGCTGCAAATACACAGACAGACTCCGAATGTGATAGCGCGCGCCTAGAGATGAGTACACACACATACACATATATATATATATATATATACAGGGTGCACACACATACATATATATATATGACTATATATATATGAATATGTAAATAAATGTAGTACGCACACACATATATATGTATATATATGAATATAATTATAATATATGTCATATGTATGTGTGTATGCTTAGAACATACACATACATATATATACAATCATACATACATGCATGTATATGTTTAAAGTATACACGCTGCAAATACACATACAGACTCCGAATGTGATAGCGCGCGCCTCCTCCTTACTCTCCTCCCACAGGGGCGGAAGTGAAATGGTACCGAATCCTGCACCTTACGGAGGGGGAGGGTGAGGAGGAGGTGAAGGAGGTGGAGGGGCGGAGCAGGAGGAGGAGAAGCAGGAGTGGAAGGAGGAAGAGGGCGAGCGAGGAGGAGGGCGCCCTCGCGTACCGCCCGGGTCTGCGCCCTCCTCTTTCATTGGTCGTCCTGAGCCGTTGGCCGTGGTTGGGCCCACTTGGGGGCCGCTTCGGGTCTTCTAGGCTGTCTTGTGGGTCCTCTTCGGGCCTGCTCGGTGCCCTTCGGGGTTTTCTGGCTGCTCTTCTCAAGTCTTGTTCCTGCGGCGGTTTTGGCGCGGCCTTGGGTGTTTGCTGGGCCGTTGCGGAGCGAGCGGAGCGCGAAAGAGGCAGAATTCCGAAGCGTGGAGGAACACTGACGGAGAAGCTTCGGTTAGGGGCCGCCCAATTCTTTTTCCAGTGCAGTTGTCGTTTTTTTGGGGGGGCGGCGGAGAGTGTTCTTGGGCTATCTTGGAGGTCCCTGCAGCTCCTCGGGGCGTGCACCTGCCAGAAAAGATTCCTTCCCGCTGGAGCCTGGCCGGTCTGGGCTGGTCCAGGGTCGAGCTGGTCAGGGTCGGCGCATCGGGGTGGGGTCCCTCGTCTTCCTTTGCCCATGTCTGCGCGACACCAGCGCAGGTCCCACACAAGTGGACTTCGTGGGGTCGGGTCCCGTCTGCTCGTTCTATGTTTTCTGCACGTGGACGCGTGGGCTACGTGAAGTCATGGGTGGGCGATGGGGACGGTGAACAGGATTGCGTGACGCGCGTGGGCGAGACGATCTAGAAGAACATTCCGAAGGTTATAGTCGTGCAGTTCGACGAGGGTGAGGACGGGCACGGGGGTCGGGTCCCTTGCGAGTGGAAGATAAAGGGACTCAGCACTTCCGGCCTGCACCTGGTGACCCCCTAAAGGAAGGAGTGCTTCGTGGACACGGGCCGCCCGCGCCCGCGCCTAAAAGTGAAACCGCGGCAGTTCCCGCTGGCGCCCGCCGCCGCAGTCACAGCCCGCGCAGCCGTGGCAGACGTTCAAGCGGGGTGTCATTGTTGCCCTGAGCATCGGCGGGGGCACGTCGCCTTTGTCGAGCCACGTGGCACTGACGCGGGTGTAGCGCCGCGAGGACATGCGGATTTCATGCGGATTTTTCTCCCCTTCGACATTGCGCCGTCTCAGAACAAGGACGAGCGAGAGGGCCCTGACATTCTGCCGCGGACACTTCGCGGAGAGGACGCCGATTGGGACGCCGCGGCATAGAAGGAGTTCATGCCGCCTGGCAGGTGCGCGGTCTGTGGCTGCGCGAAGTACAAGAACCAGTACCCGTTCGGGCAGTGGGGCCGCGCAAACGGGCTCCGCGTGTGAAACCTATGTCCGAAGGGCAAGAAGAGAGTCGGCGCGCTGTGGCAATGCATGGAATGCGGTCTGTGGAAAGGCCATGGTGCTTTCCATGCGCCCCTGCATCGCTCGTCCAAATTGACGACGCGACGCTGCTTGGAGTGCCCCGAGGGGTGGAAGTGACATAGGGGACGTTCGGAAATACGAAGGTGCCTTTGTGCCGTGTCAGTGCGGGCGGGCAGGCGACCCCGATGTAGAGGGGGGATGTGCGCAGGATGCGAGGAGTTGAAGAAGCACCTGCTGTGTTCCCGCTGCTGAGAGGATATGCAGAGGACCCACTTCCTAAAAACAAGCGTTCGCAACGAAGAGCGGCAGTTCACGGGATGCAGGAAGGCAGTGAGAGAGGAGGAGGCGCAGCACGCCGAGCGAGCGAACCAGAAGGTGTGCTCGAAATGTGGGACGGTGAATGGAAGGGGGTCATTTCCCGATCTCCTGTGGCACAAAGTGTCCGAGTCTGTGTGCAAGTGGGCGGAGTCCGTGGATGCACGGTCCAGGGGGGGCGGGGGGGGGCGCCGCAAATCGGTCGAAAGGAGAAAAGGGCGCGGCTTATGGTCAACCGAGATTGGAGAGCTCCTTCCCGTCGCACATGTGGTACAAGTCGCCAGGGTCAGAGCGGAAGTGCGCTGCGTGCGTTGCCGCGGGAGTTCCCATTCGGGACGACTTGGCGCGGTGAGAAGTGAAAGTCTGCGCGGCGTGCGAGGTTGCCTAGGGGCGGAGCATGTTTTCGGCGCGCGTGTGGACCGACGTGGCTGGCCGACTACGCAAGTGCGCCGACTGCGCGTGGAAAAGGCAACTGCCGCGAGGCTGGTGGTGATGCATTGCGCGCGTGGGCGCGTTCGAGACAGCGGACTTCACTTCGCGGTTGGCCGCCCGAGCGGCGAGACAATCGAAAGGGAAGCAGAGGTGCAAGACGTGCGTCGAGGATCGGGGTCGCGAGAGGAAGAGAGTAGCCGAGCGGAGCTGGGCGTCGGTCACAAAGAGGAGGAATGCGGGGTTGGCGCGAATCCGAAAGGACATCGGGCAGAATTGTGCTAGGCGAGGAATTGAGAAGTCAGTGGTCCCAAGAACGGAGGCCAGCAGGGCGAAGGCTGGGAGGCGCGGTGGCGGAAAAGTCGGACGCGGTGGGGATGGCAGACGCGGTGGGGGTCGGGGTGGAATGTGGGGTCGGTTCCAGGCGTGGAATTGTTTGGTGGTCCCACAGGGAGTGTCCCCAAGGAGCGTTCTGGAGGGGTGGGGTGTCAGACGTGGTGGGGGCCGGGGTGGGGGTCAAGGTCGGTGCCGGGCGCGGAATTGGGGGGGTGTCAGACGCGGTGGAGGCGGGGGTGGAAGTCAGGGTCAGGGTCAGGGTCGGTCAACCGGGCGCGGATTGATGGGCGGGGGGGCCCAAGAACAGCGTCCGCGAGGGGTGCTCTGGAGCGGTGGGGGTGTCGGACGCGGTGGGGGTCGGGGTGGTGGTCGGCGTCGGTTCTGGGCGCGGAATTGTCGAGTGGGGGATCCCAAGAGTGTCGTGGGGGTGTCAGACGCGGTGCAGGGCGGGGTGGGGCTCAGGGTTGACGGACATGTTTGGAGGGGCGTCCCAAAAACAGTGTCCCAGAGGGGTGCTCTGGAAATGTAGGTGCGTCCGTCAGGCGCGGCGGGATTCGGGGTGGCCGTGGGGGTCGGTTCCAGGCGCGGACTTCTTGGGTAGGGGGTCCAAAAAACAGCGTGCCCGATGGGGTTCTCTGGAGGGGTGAGGGTGTTGGGCGCGGCGGGGCTCGTGGTCGGGGCCAGGGTCGGGTCCAGGCGCGGGTTGCCGGGTAGGGGGTCTCACTAACAGTGTCCCCGATGGGTGCTCTGGAGGGGTGGGGGTGTCAGGCGCGGCGGGGGTCGGGATTGGGGCCAGGGTCGGTTCTGGGCGCGGAAATGTCGGGCATGGTGGTCGCAGGGCCAAGGTTCCCGAGGGGTACTTTGGAGGGGTGGGTCTGCATCAGACGCGGTGGGGGTCGGGGGTGGTGGGGGTCAGGGTCGGATCCGAGCGCGGAATTGTCGGGTGGGGTGTCACAAGAACAGTGTCGCCGACGGGTGCTCTGGATGGGGTGGGGGTGTCAGATGCGGTGGGGGGCGGGGCGGTGGTCAGAGTTGGTTCCGCGCGCGGAATTGTCGAGTGGGGGATCTCAGGAACAGTGTCCCCAAAAAGTGTTCTGCAGGGGTGTGGGTGTGAGACGCGGTGGGGGACCAGGATTGGTTTCGGGCGCGGAATTGTCAGGTGGGGGGGGGGTCCCCGAACAGTGTCTCCGAGGGGCGCTCTGGAGAAATGGGGGTGTCAGTCGCGGTGGGAGGTCGGGGCTGAAGCCAGGGTCGGTTCCAGGCGCGGAATTGTTGGGTGGGGGGTCTCAGGAAGAGTGTCCCCGACAGGTGCTCAGGTGTGAGAGTGTCAGACGCGGTGGGGGTCGGGGTGGGGCCCTGGTCGGTTCCGAGCGCGGAATCGTTGGGTGGGAGGTCCAGACAGCAGTGTCCCCAAAAGGTGTTCTGGAGGGGTGGGGGTGTCAAGCGCGGTGGGGGTCGGGGTGTAGGTCATGGTCGGTTCTTTGGGGGGGGTCCCAAGAAAGGTGTCCCCGAGGGGTGCTTTGGATACGTGGGTGTGTCAGACGCGGTGGGGGTCGGGGTCGGCACCGGGCGCGGAATTGGCGGGTGGTTGGTGCCATGTGCTCAATTATCTGGTGGGGTTCCCAGAAAAAATGTCCCAGTGGAGTGCTCTGAATTGGTGGGGGTGTCAGACGCGGTGGCGGGGTGGGGGTGCGGATACAGGCGCAGAATTGTCGGGTGGGGCGTCCCAAAACAGTGTTCCCGAGGAGTGGGGGTGTCAGATGCGGTGAGTGCCGGGGTGGGGGTCAGGATTGTTTGGGGGGGTCCCGAAAACAGTGTTTCCGAGGGGTGCTCTGGAGCGGTGAGGGTGTCAGACGCAGTGGGCGTCGGGGTGGGTGTCAGGGTCGGTTGCGGGCACGCAATTGTGTGGTGGGGGTCCCACAAACAGTATTTCGGAGGGGTTCTTTGGAGGGGTGGGGGTGTCAGACGCGGTGTGTGTGTGTGTGTGTGTGTGTGTGTGTGTTTGAGTGTGTGTGTGTGTGTGTGTGTGTGTGTGTGTCGGGGCGGTGGTCAGGCAGGGTCAGTTCCGGGCGTAGAATTATATGGTGGGGTGTCCCAAGAACAGTGTCTTCGAGGTGTGCTCTGGAGATGTGAGAGTGTCAGGCGCGGTGGCGGTCGGGGTGGCTGTCAGTTGGTTACTGGCGCGGACTTGGCGGGTGGGCGGGGGGTCCGAAGAACGTCATCGATGGGGTGCTCTGGCTGGGTGGGGGTGTCAGACACGGTGGGGGGCGGGGTAGGGGGTCATGGTTGGTTCCGGGCGCGGATTTTTTTTTGGGGGGGGTCCCAAAAACAGTGCCCCCGAGGGATGCCGAGCGCATTGGGGGGCGCGGTGGGGAGCGTTGGTCGGTTCAGTCCCAGGTGTTGCTCGGCGGGGGGCTCTAGGAGCCGAGGCTCTGGGCGGTGGGGGTGCCGGGGCGAGGTGGGAGGCGCGGCGGAGGGCGCGGCTGTGGGGCGGGGTCGCCTCTGGGCCAGAAGTTGGAGGGTAGGGCCTGGCATCGCTCGGACTTTTTTCTCGGCGAGAGCCATCGAGGAGCCTCCTGGATCATGTGGCGAGAAAACCACGCACGAAGCCGAACAAAACCACGGGGAAGGGACGTCCGAGCGATGGCGAGAGGGGGGTCCAAGAGCAGAGGTGCTGGGCGGTGGGGGTGCCGGGGGGGCGGTGCAGAGCGTGGCGGGGGGGCGTCGATCGGATCGGGGCCAAAAACTGTAGGGTGGGGGGGTCGAAGAGCAGAGGTTCTGAAGAGGAGAGCGCGAGGGAGGAAAGTTTGATCTTACACGCCTTTTGGGGCCGCTGGTTTCTTGAATGCGTGGGCCACCGACAGAGAAATCTTATGAGGCGAGACTTGGGACTTGCGAGGGCCTCGACGGGAGTGTGTAGTCAACGCATCTTGGAGTTTTCTCTGGTCTCTCACCCCTCTTCTTCCCTCCCTCCTTCAGTCAGTCCTTCCTTCATCCTCATCCTGCTTTTCCTCTTCCCTCCTCCTTCTCCGCCTCCTTCTGCCTCAGGTAGAGGGGCCCCTCTGCCGTTGCGTGGGCCACGTCTCAGCTCTCAGAGCCATGTCAATCTGATCTCTCGAGCGATTCCAGCTGGCTCGATCCGATTCGATCTTGGTTTCCCGGCGACCCGATGCGGGTGGATGCCTACGTGGCTGTGGTGTGCTTTTCCCAGAGCGGTCGATTCGATTCGAATTCGACCCCGTGCCGATGCAGCCCGATCCGATGCAAATTGCGATCTGGCCCAACTTCCTGGCTCGATGCCGACGAGCCCTGCCTGCTGGCCAGCCCCGAGCCCCCCGTCCGGCCGAGGCTGGGGGTGGTCGCCGCGTGGGCCGTCGCCGCGGGGGCCGTCTCCGGCGCCTGCGCAGCTCCCGGTGCCCGCGGACGATGCCGGGGGCTCCGCGCCGGAGGATCGGCAATGGGCGCTCCCAGCCGTGCCGCTGCTTGGCCACGCGTAAGAGTTACAGTCATCGGCCTGACCTAAGAAACGATCTACACGGAACGAAGTCCCTTTCTCCCAAGGAATAACGCAGAAGGAACGATAAATAACGCATGCGAGCCCAAGGAACGACCGGGCCCCTTTTGAGAAGTAAGTGTCCCTGATTCAAGCCGCTGACTGTACCCTCCGTCAGAGTGACCTTTAGGGCGGGCCCACGGGTGTCCCCGGACTGTCGAATGCGATGCGACAGCAGCGGCTTGCGCGCCCGGGTTTGGCGCCCCCGCGCCCCCCCCCCGAAAGCCGCGCGTCAGAAGTCGCTGGCCCAAGGGCGCTCTTGCGTGTAGCCGAGCTGCTGCCGCCTCCCATTCCTTTGACATCGGAGGCACAGACGATGAGAAGTCGGCTTCGATGGGACCCTACCCTACCCTCTACTCTACTCTACTCTACTCTACTCTACTCTACTCTACTCTACTCTACTCTACTCTACTCTACTCTACTCTACTCTAGTTTACTCCCATTCTACTCCATCCTACTCCTACTCTATTCGTTTAAACTTGTCTTTACTCTGCTCCGTCATATATGTATATAGAAGAAGCTCTACTCTATTACACCCACCTCTGCTCTATCATCAACCCTACTTTGTTCTACATTACCCTGCTCTACTCTACTCTATCCTCGTCTACCCTACTCGACTCCAATCGTCTCTATTCAACCCTACCCTACTCTAGTCTACTCTACTCTACGCTTGTTCCTACTCTACTCGACTCTTACTCCTACTCTATGCTATTAAGAACTAGTCTCTTCTGGTCAAATCTATTATGTTCAACCCTATTATGCTGTGCTCTTCTCTTTCCTTCTCGACTCCTACTCTGCCTGCCCGACACTATTCTACCATGTGCCATCTTCTCTTCTACCATTCATACTACCCTAATCTGCTGCGTTCTCCTGCCCTATTCGTTTGTACTCCTACTCCTACTTTACTCTACTCTCTTCTACTCTATTCTATGCTATTCTGCTCTACTCTACTCGTCTAATGTACTTGGTTTCACTCTCATGAAAACCATCTCTATTCTACGACGCCGTACTGGAGATGCTTTTTTTCTACTGTGCAATACCCCTTCACTTGTTGCCCTGGCATCCACTCCGTTCCCTACTCTCTTATCTACTCTGCTCTCTCTCTCTCTCTCTCTCCCTCTGTCTCCGCTCTCTACTTCGCTCTGCTGTTCGCGCCCAACCTCCTACTATATGAGATACTCTCTGGCGTCTCATATACTCTCCGCTCTTCATTAAAAAAATGCGGTTCTACTTTGCCCTCTACTCTTTGATCTACCCTACCTCTTCTCTACCCTGCTCTGCTGCAGTTTCTTCCCGCTGCTCTGTATCCGTACTATTCACTCCACGCGCTACTGTCTTTTCTGGTCTCTACTCATTTCTTTTACTCGCTGCTCCCCACCCTACATCACAGTAGAGACTACAAAAGAGCAGGGGCACGTAGAATGTCAATTCGCCGAGTAGAGAGCACAGTGTAGGGAGTGGAGAGCCGATAGCACGGTGGTTGGCAGAAAGTAGAGTAGATAGCGGGACAAGACCGGATAGTAGAGTAAAAGGGTGGGGAGTAGAGGGTCAGAGGAGGGGTAATAGTAGAATTCGCTAGGTCGATCCAGTCAGACGGCAACGCCTGTTCCCACCCGCCCTCCCACAACATCTTCAATCGTGGCGCAAGGTGCCACTGGGACCGGACCTCGCTCCTATCCCGCAGACGGCAGGCGCTCGCGCGCGGCCCCGCTATATGCCGACGACCCGGCGAAGGGACAGGCACGCGGGCCGCGCATGGGGCGGGGCCGGTAGCACTGCCCAATAAGCACGGCGAAGACGCAGCAGGCGCCGCGCTGGCGCAGCACTGCCGCTCTCACTCACAGGCTGCGCGGCGTTTGTGACGAACCAACAACACACACCCATACCCATAGGGGGGTCGGAGAGGGCTACGGGTGCGTGTTGTCGGATGGGGGTCCCCGCTCGAACGGGAGCGTTCCCCAGGGTCCGACAACCCGCACCCATACCCATAGCCAGTCCTCCTCTCAACGACCCCCCTATGGGTATGGGTGTGTGTGTGTGTGTTGCTCGTTCGTCGGTTTGGGCCAGGACCGCGTTTCGCCCGCGCCCGCGCGGCCCCGCCGAATCGCGCGGTCGCCTGCGCACGCGATGCGGCGAGCGAGCGCCAGGCGCCGCGCCCGCGCGGGACACGCCACCTCCGCGAGCGAGCTGCGCACGGGGCTCGGGCGAGGGCGGCACGTCGCCCACCCGCGCGGGCCCCTCAGAACTGGCGAGTGACAGTCATTCACCACCCACCAAACCACCCCAACCCAACCCGAAGGCTTCAAATCGACCTCCATTTCCTTTGTGGGGGGGGGTCGGGGAACATCGAGAAAACACATGTGGAACCCGTACAGTCGGGGCCCTGAAGAAGGAACCCTTTTCGTTGGGGAGGGGCTCCGTGTTCCTTCGTTGTTTCGCAGCTTGCCTGGGATTTCCTCAGGTTTTCGATGCGGAATCGAAGTTCAACTTATGGAAAATAGGGGCCTCGTTCCTTATTTTTGGGTTCCTTAGGTCAACGTCCCGACTGTACCCCCCCCAACCCGAAATTGGGGCCTTCGGGTTGGGTTGGGGTGGTCTGGTAGGTACAGTCGGGGCACTGAGGAAGGAACCCTTTTCGTTGGGGAGGGGCTCCGTGTTCCTTAGTTGTTTCGCAGTTCGCCTTTGGTTTTGCTTAGGGTTTCGATACGAAGTCGAAGTTCAGCTTATGGGAAACAGGGGCCTCGTTTCTTATTTTTGGGTTCCTTAGGTCAGCGCCCCGACCGTACCCCTCCAACCCGAAATTGGGGCCTTCGGGTTGGGTTGGGGTGGTCTGGTAGGTACAGTCGGGGCACTGAGGAAGGAACCCTTTTCGTTGGGGAGGGGCTCCGTGTTCCTTAGTTGTTTCGCAGTTCGCCTTTGGTTTTGCTTAGGGTTTCGATACGAAGTCGAAGTTCAGCTTATGGGAAACAGGGGCCTCGTTTCTTATTTTTGGGTTCCTTAGGTCAGCGCCCCGACCGTACCCCTCCAACCCGAAATTGGGGCCTTCGGGTTGGGTTGGGGTGGTCTGGTAGGCAGTGAGTTGGCGTTCACGATGAGGCGGGGGAGCGCCACTTTCGGGCGGAGTCTGCATCGGCCCAGTCCTCTCTCCTCATTCTGATACTCCTCCTCTCCTCCTCCTCCTACCTCCTCATCCTCCTCTCCTCCTCCCCCTCTCCTCCTCCTCCCTCCTCCTCCTCCTCCTCCTCCTCCTCCTCCTCCTCCTCCCCCTCCTCCTCCTCCTCCTCCTCCTCCTCCTCCTCCTCCTCCTCCTCCTCCTACTCTCCCTCCTCCTCCTCCTTGCTCGGTGCCGACGTTTTCGTCCGCTCGCGCGTCGGCGACGCCGCGTGCGACGAGCGTGCGCCGCGCCCAGGCAGGCACTCATCTTTTTCCGGGGAAGTGGGCGCGGCGTCGAGGCGAGAGCTGCACTTCGGCCTTTTTTGCGCGGCATGTGCGCCCCGTTTTGGTTTTTCCGCCGCGAGGCCTGCGGCAGGGAGGAGTGTAGGTGGCAGAATGGGAGTACACATTGTAAACACAGGGGTATGGGGAAGAGCAGAGAGCATGTAGACCAAGTTGAAAATGGGAGAACAAGTAGAGTAGACTAAGCCAGAGTAGAGTACCTTTTACCGTAGAGTAGAGTACATGGTCGAGAACAGAGATATTATTGGAATCGAGTGGGGGGGGAGTGGAGCAGCGTAGAGCATGTCAGACGTGGGTGTGCCATGTAGTCCATATTGGCATAGAATAGAGCATCGTTGGTATTCAGAAGCCGAGGAGAGTTGGAACAAGCTCAACCATATGCAGTTCTGAGTGCCGCGCTGTGGCACCGTATTCGGTGGAACTCCTAGTTGGGCCACGAAGCGTGTGAGGGGTGTGGCGACATGGACGTGCGGAGGGCAGAGGCAAGGCTGGGAGGAGGGAAGGGGAGGGAGTGAAATGACGCGGTGCGTTGTCTTTTCAAAACGAGGACCCGACACCGCAGGATGGTTACGGAAGATATTCAGGCGAAGCACCCAACCTGGAGCAGCTTCGAGTACAGGGGGGCAGGTGGGAAAGAGTAGGGGGCCAGGAACAGCTGCGGCGTGGACTGGGAAGGAAAAGCCGTTGGGCTCGCGGGGGAATGCATTGTGTAGCGCGAGCCCCGTGCGCCGCCATTTCGTGCCCACTGCCCACTTCTTTCCCAGCTCTTCCACTCCCCTCCTCGTTTCCAGTGCGCGGCGTTGCGTTTCTGCCCGCCCGGCCCGCGTTCCCCGATTCCCAGGCCCTGCCAGTTTTCAGCGAGCGAAGAACGGTATAAAATAAACTTTTTCGCCGTCGGGGACACCTGCCCCTGGGCGGCTGGAAAGTTTATACCCCTACGGTGCCACCGTAAGGGTATAAACTTTCCAGCCGCCTTGGGGCAGGTGTCCCCGACGGCGAAAAAGTTTATTTTATACCGTTCTTCGCCCGTCGAAGTTTGTGTATCAATTTCCCTTCCTCGCACTCCTCCCCTTTGGGTCCCTGCGCCCTGGCGACCGCGGCCTCGGACGCCGCGCGCTGCGGGCCCCCCCACGCCGCGAGCCGGTCGCCCCGAAGGAGATTCCCGGCGACGCGCGCCGGGCGTCTGCGGCACGGGGGGCGAAGCACACTTTTTTTTTGGTCGGCGGGGCGAGGGCGAACCTCTTCCGCGAAAAGCTAGGCGGGCCATAAAACGACGCGAAGCTCGGGACCAGAGTCGGCTCGGGACAACTCGAAATCTCTGAGCATCGGCGGGTTTGGAGGATGTATTGGGCGCCGCGGCCGCTCCAGAGCGTTCCGGAACGCTCTGAGAGCGCTCCAGAACGCTCTGGAGCGATTTATCCCGATCCTAGCCCTGTTTTGCACACTTTTTGTTGGTCGGCGGGGTGAGGGCGGACCTCCTCCGCGAAGAGCTAGGCGGGCCACGCGAAGCTTTGGCTTGGGGAGGCATCGGCCTCGCGCGGAGGGGGGGGGGAGGGGGGGGAGGGCTTCTCAGAAGCACCCCTGCTTCTTAGAAGGCGCGGGCCTTCTCTGTAGATGTAAGGCCGGCGCCTTCTAAGAAGCAGCCTCCTTCTAAGAAGCCCCCCCCCTCCCCTCACCCCCTTGTGCGCGCCGCCCAAGACAGGTCGCAATGGGAGGCGGCCCGCGGGGTCTCTGGAGCCAGGAAGCGCGCGGAGGGGCGTCGGTGGGGGCCGCCCAGTGCCACCCAGTGCCGTCCAGGAGGCACCGTGATGTACATTTTTGGTCGGCGGGGCGAGAGCGAACCTCCTCCGTTGAAAGCTAGGCGGGCTACGCACAGCTCTAACTGGGGAGACAGGGCAGAGGCGGGCGGGGCCTCGGGCGGCCAAGAGGGCGGGGCCCGGGGTGCAGGCGGTGCCGAGGAGCTTGCACAGGAAAAGGTACGCCGTGGACAGGAGCCGGAGGCGAAGATCCGGATGGCGAGCGACCACCGCGATGTACAGTCTGGAGGGTTTCTGTCGACACGGTGGGTTCCGTGCTCTGTCGAGGGACGCCTCTCGTTTTCTGCTGTTCTGCCCCGGCCTGGTTCGGTGCGTGCATGTTTATAATCTGGTGTTTCGTTTTGTCTTCGTGCGTCCGTTTTTTCGACTTCATCCACGGTGTGGTGCAGCTTGTTCGCAACATGTCTCCTGCCTTCTCCCTGTCGCCCTCCCCCCCGTCCCCGGGCAATCCAGTATACATAATCCATACGTTCCTGGCGCTCTCGATTGACCTTTTGAGTGGTTTTGTATCGCTAGCCGTTTCAGCCTCGGGGGATGTACGCACGCAGTTTGCTTTGTCAATCCTGTTCTCGCCCGCCAGGGCAAGCGTTTTTGGTGACCACGCTGCCCGCTCCCTCTCCTTTTGCTCCCCCTCCTTGTCCTCCTCCTCCTCCTCCTCCTCCTCTTCCCTTTCCTCCTCTTCCTCCTCCTCCTCCTCCTCCTCTTCCCCTTCCTCTTCCTCTTTCCCTTGAGTCCTCTGGGACGGCGCCCACATCTCGAGCCCCACCGTCTCACCACCTCAGTTGGGGATATGCCCTTCTAAATCCGAAGAGAGCAGCCTATATCCCCATCTAGGGGGGTAGATCGGCCAGTGGGGCCCAGCGCACGCTGGTGGGGATGTGGATCGGCTAAACGATGCTCAAAGGTCTCGCGTGTTGGCTCGCCTATTGCAGGTTGGACCCCAGGCGATTCTGGGTTTGGCTTGTGCATGTGGTTGGACACTAGTGGTGTGTTCGTTGAACGCATCCAGTCGGAATCCTCTTGGACGCCTCATGGAGCCATCTTGGCGCCAGTTTGGAAGCCCTGTAGGCCCTCTTGGGGCCTTCTTGGAGCCCTCTTGGGGCTCTTCGGGGGGGTCCTGGTGCCCCTTTGGGAAGCTGAAATTCAGGGCCCCCCCCCCTCGGAGGCGGGAAGCTCGACTCCGGGGGCCCTCTTAGGGCGCTCTCCGGAGCCTCTACAGCGCTCTGGGGCCGTCTTGGGAGCCTCTTGGGCCCCGCATCGGAAGCGACAATCCGAGAGGGCAACGCGTTTTTTGTTTGCCCGGTTTTGGAAGGGTTTTTGCCTCTTGGGCGTCCTTGGGAGGCCACTTGGAGCTAACCTTGGGGCATCTCGACGGCATGTCGGAGGCCATCGTGAGCCATGAATGGCTATCTCGAGCCATCTTGGAGCCCATCCTGGGCCCTCTTCGGGCCATCTTGGACCATCCTGGACGCTTAACTCCTCCGTCCCCCGCCCCTACCCTGAGATCCGACTGTGCGAACACATTGCAACCTCGCCAGAAACCTCGCCCAGATCTCCAGATCCCATCTTTCTGTGTCATTTCTCGAGCCGGATCGATCTGCGAGGGTCCCGGGGCCCGAAATCCAGCGAACACGCCCGGCTCGAAAAAATTGCAACGCCAGGATCTCAGGGTAACGAGGGGTGCTGCAAGGAGTGAAGACACAAACTCGGCACACCACCTCCGCCCAGAGGGCTGGTGGGATTATCCGACCGTCGCTGGTCGGTGAGCCAGCTGTGGGCTCGCCTCCCCCCCTGCGTCCCCCGCCCTCTCCGCGCGGCGGTCCCGCGCCACACGCGCAGCACATCGGCACCGACGGCCATCGACTCCAGCCGCGGCCCGTCCTGGCTTCGGCCCGCCCGCGACCGCCTCCCGGGCCCGGGAGGAGGAGGAGGAGGAGGAGGAGGAGGAGGAGGCGGAGGAGGAGGAGGAGGAGGAGAGGAGGAGGAGGAGGAGAGGAGGAGGGGGAGGAGTGAGGAGGAGGAGGAGGAAGGTAGAGGGGAGGAGGAGGACGGAGGAAGGAGGAGGAGGAGGAGGAGGAGCCCCCTCTGGCGGACCCAGGCGCGCTCCGCTCCGCGCTCCGCTGTGCTCCGCCCCCCCCCGCTTGGCATCGCTCGGACGTGTGCGTTTGCTCTCGGCGAGGACCCTCGAGGAGCATTTTTTCTACCTTTTGCGACAATATTCAAGGGAGGAAGTACCACCGGGACCGAACGATTGGCGTTTACTGAACGGCCTTGGGCGTTCACTGAACAGCCCTGCCCTGCTCGACTCCTTCTTTGGGCGCGTGCACTAGACGACTTCGCGTGTCGGGGTGGTTCGTATGGGGGTGGATTTTTTTTTGTCTTTTTGAAAGAGGCACGCAGGGGACGCCGAAGAGAGTGCGCAGGGAGCCGACGCCCGAGCAATGCCGAGCCCGAGGACACCCGCATCTTCTGCGACCCGGAGGTCGCCGAGCCGGATTTCCAGCTCAGCGGCTGCGGCTCCTGCCGCAGCAGCCTCAGCTGCGGCATCGCGGGCATGCCGTGGGGGCAGTGGTCACCCAGCAGCAGGCCCAGAGGCCCAATCTCGCAGGCCTAGAGGTTGACACCAACACCAGTATCGGCGGTGTGCCTCCACCGAGGGAAGAAGATCCCGATCTCGGTGATGGTGGTGATATTCTGGCTTCCAAGGTGACCGAAGTATTACCACCAACACCGAAATCGAGGATCCTCTTCCCCCTGCGGAGGCAGCCCCCGGTGTTGGCGTTGGTGCCAATTTCCAGGCCTCCAACAATCCTGCAGCTCCGGGCGGCGTGATCAGAGCTGCAGTCGGCCACTGATGATCGGGGGCCCCCAAAACGGAGTGGTGACCACACCGCGCGGCGAGTCGGTGGGGACTCGGGGTCACCGCACGGTTTTGGGACTCGGGTCCTTCTCCGAGGACGTCTCGGGCGACAGGGGCCTCCCGGGTCCCAAGGCCGTGCGGTGACGGACCGTGGGGTGAGGTCTTGGGGGATTTCGAGGTATCCTGCAGATCCGGACGTCGTGATCAGAGCTGCAGTCGGCCCTGATGATCTGGGCCTCCTAGGTGGGGTCGGAGCAGATGGGGTCGGAGGATCGCGCCGCATCGCCGATGCATCGCCGATGCGGCTCGATGCGGAGCCCGACTTGCTCCACGTCGACGTCGCCGATGCACCGCCGACGTCGACGTTGCATCGCCGGTGCATCGCCGATACATCGCCGATACATCGCCGATGCGGCGGGATCCTCCGACCCCACCTGCTCCGACCCCACCTAGGAGGCCTCTGGATGAGTAGGCCGTCCCTGCCAGAGAAAGGACACCCTTGTGCCCCGTGTCGCGACCCGTGCCTCCTCCTTCTTAGTTGCCTCGATGCGCCCATTTTTTGAAACGCAGCACGTCCCGTGCTCAAGACTCGTCCGTGTCGGCACCTTGCGTGTCGGCTCTACGCATTGTGACCACGTTTTGGCGAAGGTATCGCGTCGGACCCACGTATGCAGCCTACTACGTGTTGAGCTCCGTGTCTGTACGATACGTGTGGCGTTTTGCGTATCGGGGCATCTGAGCCGCGCACAGCGCCGGCAGCTGCGCGAGCGGGGGGCGATGCCGACGGGGGGGGGGCCAAGAGGGGGGTGATGACTAGGGGGGGGGATATCATGGCGATGGCCATGATATCTCCCCAGATTTCATGGCGCCTCTTCTTCTTCTTCTACAGTCGGGGCCCTGAAGAAGGAACCCTTTTGGTTGGGGAGGGGCTCCGCGTTCCTTAAGTGTTTCACAGCTTGCCTCAGGTTTTCCTCATGTTTTCGATAGGAAATCGAAGTTTCACTTATGGAAAAAAGGGGCCTCGTTCCTTATTTAGGGTTCCTTAGGTCAACGCCCCGACTGTACGTGTTGCGTGTTGCGTAGCGGGGCAGCCAGGTTCGTCTTGCGTTCCCGTGGCCGCGCGGCCCTCGGCAGGGCGGCCTCGTGCCCCCGCCGGCTGCGCGGCGGGCGCCCCTTCGCTCCGAGAGAT